AAAGAAAATTGAGCCTTACACTATCGATACTCAAATTTCAACGCATATTTTTTTTCCCGTATAGACGCTGCTGTATATAAATTTCCTGAAAAATATTCTTCGACGACATAAATATTCAGATATTCAAAGGACTTCGCGCGATACGCAGATCTATTTTCAAGAGCGTTACCTCCACGAGGAGATATATATAAAGAAATTTTCAGCGTTAAAATTGTCAGTTGCATATTGATAACTCCAAGTCCAGCTTTTACTAGATAGTAGATCTCTCTCCAAATAAATAAACAAATAAATTATTAATATTGTATGTAAATAAAGGAGACATACGATATGATATTTGATAATAATGGCATTGATTTGACACATCTCTCTATAGAGTATTTTATGATACTTCTATATGTATTTTTAAACCGATAATAAAAATATATTTAGAATTTCTGCAGAGTGCACATTTACATGCTATGGTACTTTAGTGTATAACAGATGCATTTTTATCATATATTATTTTGCTTATTCGTTATAAATTGTGGCACATCGTTGAAGTAGTGATAAGATATTATTGCATCCTTAAAATGCGCTCCTTTTGTATATCGAATTATCTTCCTTTTTTTAATTTAAATATAGACATGTTATATGTAAATATAATATTGACCAAAACAAAGAAAAATTAACTATTCGTTCTTGCGAATATTTACAAGAATATTCATCATAACGCAATGCAAAAGTCAATTTTGCACTATCAATGCAATAATGGCGATGTCGACTTCATTTTCATTTCTGGAGTTATAATCATATTTTTTAGAATTTTTTTCGAACACAAACCAAAGTTACCAGAACGAAAGAGGGGGGGAGGGGATCCCGATATTACTTTTATAGTGTATTTTTATAATACACTTTTTAAAACATTGTTCATTTTCTGCAATGTCCCTATTGAAAAATTAGAATACATTGGACTAGCTTATGAAAATATATCACGTTTCTTTATAGACTACAATAATTATCACGAAATGTTATCAGTCTTAATCACATTACAGCAAATCCTCTTCTTTGTCTAAAAAATTTAATATTTTAATTGCAGTGAGCTCTTTAATACGCCGACAGCATATTGCTTATTTTTCACGCCAGTGATCACCACCAAAGCCATGAAAGGGCTGATATTAATATATCTCTGGGCTACGTAACAATACATTCGATATTGTTTACGAAATTATACGGTTCGATATATCGTACGTAGTAAAATTGTTCAGATATTACGGTGGATTCTTACAATGCGTTTACGTAAATTTGCAATAACAATTCAACGATACGTAAAAGCGGCACGCCAAATTCGACATCGAGTCGTCGCCAGTACGGCTCCCAAAATTTGATAAATGAGATTAGAGAAATCGTCGGGAGAACGTGCGAACAAAGTTTAAGGTAATTTAAGAAGAGACGGAGGAGAATATTGTAGTAGAGTGGGAGAATATTGTTTTCTCACTTGATTTCTGCGAAAAGCCTGAGGATTCGGCGCGTATCCGATGGTTCCCTGCATCTTCATTGTGCGCAAAATTTCAGGATCAATCGGCGGAGTTTTTCTGTGAAAGAGCAAAAATCTATATTTGTCTACTTCGATTATACAAACATTTATTGCGCATAAATTTACACTTGGATTATATTCTAAGTGTACGGACTAAACGTATCAAGCGCACATACCTATAAACTTTTTTTAGAAACTCTTCCGGCCAATCACTTAGAAGTGGCTGTTCAGAATATACAATTGGTATTGTACTAAGTGGTGTATCGTCATCATCGAAAGAAATAGGTTGTAATGTCTCAACCGGATCGGCAAATTCCGTAGGCCTAATTAAAATCAAAGTATATATACATTTTTTTATCATATGTACAAAATTTTTTCCGTGACTGCGTGTGATAAATTAAATAAGAAATATCTCATTTAATTTTATAGATACATTACAAAAAAAGACAGAAAAATAACTTTAGCGGATAACAATTAATAATTTGGTGGATAACAGCAATTTATTTTAAAAAAGAAATGTGTCGCTAACCTAGAAAATGTATTAAATTGAGGCTCTGGGTTGTTGGTAGACATTAGATGTATCGAACCCGCCGTGTCTCCGAAGCAGAGGAACTGAGATGTCGAAGCTACGTCAAATGATAATATCATAGCGCCGCCGGTAGCAACCTAATAATACACGTACCTCTGTATTATCCACGTCTTCTTAGGTCTTAATATACGTGACATGACAAATCTACAAACCTGATACAAACACGTCATTGATGGCTGCACATTCGCGTATATCGTATCAAGTAACTGCATTTGTCCCAGTGGCGAAACCACCGCGAGACGACTCGAATAGCTAGGTAGGAATCTCAATAAGAGAGGATACACTAAGGTAGTTACAGGACTCAAGGCTCTCATTTGTCGCAGATCGTAGGCCATTAGGAATCGATCAACAGCAAGACCTTGACGACTAAATATGCAATTGCATATGCTCCATGAATATCTAAATAATTCGAGTATCTTTCGCTTGTCCTAAATGTCTCACCTGTTGCTGAATCCGCACGTGACGAGATAATTGCCCTGGACGTCGAAATCACTGAGGGAACCGCTATGTGTGTCGAAAGTGTGCTCTACCGTTAACGTATTTGGGTCCCTGAGATCTATCCTCCCCGCGGGGTTTCCCGCGCAAATAAATCTACTGTGCTGCCGCAATATCGCACAACCGTGCTCTCCTACTTGTACCTATAATTATAGGGCGATCGCAAAAGGACTCAGAAAGAGAGAGAGAGAAAGTTCCTTTAACATTTAACTAGCAAATCCTTACTAATCCAGTTTCTTTTCCTGTAGTGAGATTAAAATCGATTATCTTCTCCTGATGTCCACCCATCAACAGTCTGGTTGGGGAAATTTGTAGCATGCACTGCATATCGTTCATGTTCAGTGATCTACAAAAACCCAAGTTCTCGCTCCAAAATCTATATCAATGATACCATTGGTACAGTATCAACATACGTGTGTGTAAATATTGGTATTCCCCGTCTCAATTGGCATCTCAGTTGACTCTGCGATAACACTAAGATCCCCTCATCCACGGGATGGATGTGTCGTATCTCTTGGGTCGCGTGGACTTGAAAGGAAGTATACTTTTGTAAACCAGGCCCATAGTAAGATGTTACGTGACCCTACAACGAATCAATGTTATTGAGAACAGTAAGACAAATTTGCATCAGTCGAGCGAATCAAAGAGCAGTCCTAGACAGTAATAATGTACCCCTTGATTTCCCATCCACATAAGCTCCTCGACCGTGTCGAAAGTGGCAGTGGAAACGCCAAATCTATCTCCACCATCGGCGAGCAACGTTCTAGTCTCACGAAACTCAGCCGCGGAGAAATCCTCTCCAAATTGCTCCGCTGCAGGTACATATTCATCTCCGGGTAAGACATAATTCGTTCCTTCCCCTGAAATGAGAACCAGTTGAAAATTCAACAGCCCATGACCTGTACTTTCAGCATATATCACCCCAAATTGAGACAAGCCAAATGGCTCTTTTAATAATAGACTAATTACATATTTAACATCTCTATTTATTACTGAATAATTATTCATAAGATTTCCTTTATTAATATTTACAATTTATATATTTTCTATATATACAGAATAAGATATAAAGGAAAATTTAACATATAATACATGCAACATCAAGATAGATTCCAATAATTTCTACAAAATGAATGAAGACAGAGTATATCCTTAAATATTTGCAGTTTCCAACTGCCTGGGAAATAAAAACAAAATACATGCAAAGTGCAACATGCTGTAACAGTATATTGATTTAGCACACACTAATTGACTGCTCCTAGACCGACATTTCCTCATATTAATCTTAACGAGATATTGAGAAAATAAAAAATTATTCATTTTTGCAATAAAGAAAAATGCATATCTAACCGTCTGTTTCAAGCGGCACATTCATCCGTAATAACGTCTTTCGCAAAGCACTAACCCAACGTTCGCCAAGAGCGAAGTTGCGTCCACGTACGCGCGGGAGGAACAGCTGATGCCAGCTGATAAAGTATACACACATGCATACGCGCCAAAGCGTTCGCGCGACGTCACAGAAAAACAAAGAAACAAATGCAGCGCGACGAACATACGGCGGCGAACGCTGGTCGCGTAAACGAGATTGCACAGGAACACAGGCGAGGAACTTGTCGAAAGACGCTGGGTCGAATACATACGCGATATAAATTGAACGTGTTTGACGCGTTCAATTCGAGACATACGGCGGACAATCACGCGACTAACGAAGCGGTGCGAAGCGCGCGAGACACCAGGAACAATACGGATACTCACACAACAGCTCTTGCTGTTCCTCGCAGGTGCTACCGGCCGTGGCCTCTACGGTAGGATCGTAGTGGCCCAACACCGGGTAGTCCATAATAACAGGCACTACTTTCCTTCAGGCTATCGCGCCACGGACCATCGATGTGTCGGGAACGGCGCTGGAACGGTATGGAAGTCGGCGTTCTAACGGCAATCGGTCTGTTATCATAACACACCACGTAAACGCGACGAACGGCCACGAGGGGACAGTGAACGCACGGGCGAACGCATCCACTCACACGACTACTCACGCACGCATCGCTCGCACGTACGCACGCACGCACGCACGTCAGTCGTCTTGGCAACTGTGCAACAAGCGAAACACTTGGCCGACCAGAGAACACGGAGGTCTGCCGAATTTGGCCGACGAGAGTCACGAGAGTACGGTGAGAAACGGTCACATTCTAACGCGTATTTGCTCGAGCTCTCTCACACGCCGGAGAAACTCATACAATCTGTTTGCCGCGCGATCGCGATTCTAATTCATGATCGCGCTTCTCTGCGTTCCATTCCGTGAGCAAGGATCTATCGCGATCTAGAGACTCTCAGGAGAACGTCCGGACGAGAGGAGGCCCGCCATGTTGCGGCGGACCGGAAGTGGTTGTCTGGTAACTTCTTCAGTACGTTTCGAACGGGAGCGTCCCGATTGACCACGGTACGATTGGACACAACCAACCAATGCAAAGAATTATCTAATGAATTACCAGGTCGAAATTATTATCAGTAATTACCGGTTCATCGGGTCCCACCCGTTTCGAACGTCGATCGAAACGTCGGGGACGATTGTAGGTGGGACCCGATTGATCACAGTACGATTGGACACAGGTTGTAATGATTGGTTCGACCTGGTAATTCACTAGATAATTCTTTGCATCGGTTGGTTGTGTCCAATCGTACCGTGGTCAATCGCGACGCTCCCGACAATTGTGAAACTTGTTTCTCGGATAGTCTTATCACTCCAATTAATACTTATGCTCCTGCACACAGGACGCGGTAACGATTGCCGCGCGGCGGAAATCCGCGCAACAGCCAATCAATATATTGTTTTTCCGTAAGAGCTAGAAGGTTATTACGGAAAGCAGCATATTGATTGGCTGTCGCGCAAACTTCCGCCACGCGGCAAACATTACCGCGTCCTGTGTGCAGAAGCCATAATACGTACGGAAGTCCATCACGTGATCATAGGATGCAATCCATTTAGCGCCACAAATACTTGAGACATTGGCCCGTATTCTGAATCCTCTTTTATCGATAAAAGTGCCTTAAATGTAGCTTCTCAGTCAATCAGGTGGTTCCTAAGCCTCTTTTAGGCCTGGTGGCACAACATTATTTTGGCTTTAAGCGAAACTTAAACATATATCTATCTTTATCTTTCTTTCTATATAAATAAAGATAGACATATATTTAAGTGTCACTTGAAACCAAAATAACGTTGGTGCAACCGGGCCTTAGAGGCACTTTTATAGATAAAAGAGGATTCAGAATATAGGTCGTTGCAAGTGAATATAGGCCGAATGCAATGAAGTTTTCTATTGGTAGATGTGACGTCATAAATATGTCTAGATTTTCGCTCATGGGACAATGACAATAACTTCTTCTTAGGAGTGGATACATGCGAAATGGAGTATTTTTTTAATTCGACGATGTTATTAATTATGATTGCTTTCCAAGGTTGCGTTCGGAAACGTCACTCGAATACTCTTCCTCTCTTTTTATCTCACTCTTGTATCTCGCTCACTCCAACGCAACGGGTACACTTAGGTGACGTTTATGAATGCAGACTAACAAAAGACAAAATTGTTTCATTTGCTAGATATATCAACTTAGAATTATCTTGTATCGTTTCCAGAGCTGCGTTCCAAAATTCTATTTAGCGAATAGAGTAACGTTTAATTAACCAATCGTGATAAAGAAATCTTAGTTATTTTCGTTCTGATTGGTCAATTAAATGCTACTCTACCCGAGTAGAATTTTGGAACGCAGCTTAGGCTACTGTAAAATTATTCACTTTTTCACAATTTTATACTAGAGAAAGAAATTACATGATTGATAAGTGCAACCGAGTTGACATGAAAAAGTTCGATAGGTGCCTAGCTCTCGCGTTCGCCGCCAACTTCACGTAGCAGCAATCACGTTAATCAAGAGAGAATCCAAGAGCGACTCGTAAGTCAGTCCGATACTCACCTGTTTACTTAAACAACAATCTTATTCGGTAAATCATGATTTTATATCGAAAAGTCACGGACCGAACAGCCTGACATTTATCGTGAAATTCGCTGCGAACGCTTGCACTGATCAGCCGCTTACGGACGAGAGGACGGACTCGGCTAAATTCGGTTGGTCGATAACGTAGTCGGAGTTAGCTCGGAAGCCACGAGTAGGTCATTGCGCGGAAGTCGGTTCGTTCCGTCGTGGTCCGCGACACGGGATAGGTCAGTCGGTCTTCACGCAGCAGACGCATTCGTATACGCTCACTTCCACTCATATTCAATTCAACATTCCAAGGGCCGGGTCCTCCTATCGCTTCTCTTCGACACTACTCTTTGGTAAGTGCGGCTGCCCACTGCATTGGCAAGTGAGTAAAATTCGTCCGCAGCTATTCGTTGCTAAAATCGTGGCGCGACGATTCTGAAAGAGAAAGAAAAGCTTACCTTGCTACGTTCTCGAGAACATTAGTCGATCGTGCATGTTCGGTCAGTTTAACTGAGTCCGAATCGTGCGGTACCATCACGGTGCGCGGATCGAAGAAGACAGTAAGGCGGCCATTTTCTATCGTAACGTGCTTATCGCCGCCTGGCCACCCGGTGTTCGTCGTCGTCGCTCTTGTCACGTCGCCGAGATCTCTCGTCGTCTTGGTACATTCCGCTCCACGATTGATGAAACTGATCGCGAGTGAGCGACGGGAAGGAATCACGAGAAATCGTCGGCCGACAACGTCGACACGGAGACGTTACGTAATATACGGCGCTTCGGTTCGATTTCGCGTACATGCGTGTACTCGACTCGCGACCAGCTTCACGGCATTCTCGCAGCGAAGGTCGCGGTGTAACTTACGCTCGCGAGTCACCCATAACCGTTCGCATTTTCCTGCCTTTTTCCAGGTAGCATTCGTAGAGTCCACGCAGAAACAGCACCACAATAAACGTCATCATGTACGCCTGCAGTCGATTCATCGCCCCCATCGCCAAATCCACTGTGAGTAAGAGGAGAATTTTGAGGATCGAATAACGCGATCGATTGCCCGCGTGCACGTTATTATATAATAACCCTGACGCGCAAACTTTTTTCCTGAAACGCTCGTTTTTGTTTCATCGGCGCGTTACAGCTGGTCTCCGGCAGCAAGACCTATCTGCGGCCGTTAAGCAGTGCCGTGATCAGTCACAGCCAGTCCTTACAACGGGATCAAATTCAGACACCCGTCAGTTTGGTGAGTGAACTTTTCTTCCCCCTGTCCATTGCATAACCTTTTCGCGATCAAGGTTACATAAGCAACTAACATCGTTTGAGGTGAAGGGTTTTCGATCTAAATGAGGCGCGTTGATATTACGGGACTTTATGCGATTTATTGCCGGGAGAGAGATGTAGACTGACATTGATTGTTTTTGACATTGAAGCTTTGGCATTTCGCGATATAAATGTCGAATAAAATATATTGAATTTTAATTAAGTATTAATTAGCTGTTGAAATTGATTTTTCCAAGATTTGATATTTCTGGAACATCTTTTAATTCATGCTTTGAAACATGTATGCATACACACTTAAATGTTGACGTAACAATCTTATAGAAATGATGTTATATTTGTAAAAATATAACCTGATATTTTTATTAATGAATTTTTGGGACAACTTTTAATTCATATTTTGAAACACACCTAAATGTTGAAGTAACAATTTTATAGAAATGATGTTATATTTATAAAAGTGTACTTATAACCTAAAATTCTTCTTAATAAATATACAAATATTAATAGTATTTAACTGGTAACATTTTGATACAGTTACCAGTTGTACGTAACTTCCAAACCTCCACAGTCAGTCGTGATATTGACTCGGCTGCAAAATTCATTGGCGCTGGTGCCGCCACAGTAGGAGTAGCAGGATCTGGTATGTATATATAAAAGTTACTAATTATAAAAATCATATATATATATATATTATATATATCCTTTGCAATAACAGCATGAAATTTACTATCACAGATAAGATATGACAGTAATGATAAGATCTGCACAATAATACAGTGCACCATAATAGTAGGCTTAATATTTCCCAATAAAATTACTCTAATGTATTAACTCTGTATTTTCCCCTTAATACAGTATGAATAACAAATATACACAATTAACAAAATATCTTTTATTATTTTTTTTTCTTTCAATAAAATCGCTTTTAACATCTTGTTAATGTAAAGAAATTTTTTACGTTATAGGGGTTGGTATTGGTTTGATTTTTGGATCCTTGATAATGGGCTACGCACGTAATCCCTCCCTGAAACAACAAGTTTTCTCCTATGCTCTCCTTGGATTTGCGCTGTCTGAAGCAATGGGCCTTTTTTGCCTGATGATAGCGTTCCTTATACTGTTTGCTTTTTAAATCCAACTCCTGGGGAAAGATCTCCTTTCATGGAAGTGAAGTTATAAGATACGTTTTCATCCATCACGCGTAATTAATAAATACGGATGCGCGCACATACATGCATATACATACACAGACATATGTGTATATATCATTATATTGTTATTAAAAGAAAGTAGGCTTATAAACCCCTCGTTACCCCAACCTAAAAGATCTTCTGTAACATACATCATTATATAATACGCGTCATATAAACAGCACAGTTTGGCACAGTGTACTACTAACGTCAGAATGCTCAATAAAATTCTTTTCCTTATTACGCGAGAGAAAGAGAGAAGGTGACAGTAGTATTCGTTCCTGACTTGACGAATTGCTGTTCCAGGTGCTGGAATAGGATCAGTGTTCGGTTCGCTGATTATCGGCTATGCCAGGAATCCATCCTTAAAGCAGCAATTATTCTCGTACGCCATTCTGGGTTTCGCCCTGTCCGAGGCCATGGGTCTCTTCTGTCTTATGATGGCTTTCCTGCTCCTATTCGCCTTCTAAGCCACAATATCCGCATAAGAAATTGCTGATATAGTTTTTAGTGCGTCACTGCCAAGGCAGCGTCATCTGGCTCCAAATTGAACCATAAGGCGGCGGCTGTCTCTGGTATGCGGGATGCCATGAAATCATTAGGGAAGCTCGGATTTGTGGTTCGGATTCGGGGTGCGACGGTGCGACAATGAGCGAGAGAAGCTGTACTATACCAAGACGCAGTTGCACACGCCATCGTGCGCGGACCGTCTCGACCCTTTCCAAGCCTTCAGCTTGTTTCAATAATAATTTCATGGCCTACTGTTTCTCATGTAGCTAATAAAACAACTCACATTGTTATCACATTACGGATTTCAGTGTAACGAACGAATAAGACGTTACTGAAAGTTGGAATTAAAAAAAAAAGAAAAGATAAAAACGACAGCGCCTCTCACTCCGCATACCCATACACGCACGTACTGTACTCACCGTGGTTAGAGTGGTTCCATGCGACTTAGTACACTTTTCGAACATCTTTGTCACCGGAAGGGATATTCATCGTCATTGTTGTGCCGTCGCGTATGCACGTTGTTGAGGTAACTCTCCTAACGAAGATAACAAAAACTGTACAGTGATACCGAATAAACATCTTTGTCGTGGAATCGTGGATTTCTTTGTAAATGTTCGTTTAGAAATTTCCTCCCGCCGTTTCTCTTAAACTCGAATACTTGTTTCGTAGACTGTAAACCTGACAAATAAAAATCTACAAATCTGTCTATATACAGCGTGTTATATATAAACCATCTAAAAATAAATTTAATACATAATTAATTCTGCCTTTATAGGGAAGAATGTCAAGTAAAAGTCCTATTGCACTTGTCGAGGCGCAACTTTCGTATAATAACAAATAATATCAAACGGTTATTAAATGATCTTTTTCAATAGTCAAACAATAATGATCGATATCCAAATATAAAAATACATATAGTATAACGTATGCGATAATTAAATTTTATGGAAACTGAATCACATTTATGTCCAGTCGAACAATGTATCCAAGTGATAAATTGATAGAAACCATAAGCCTCATACCAAAAGATTTCTTGGGCCGGTGGTAAGCTGCGTGGTCTTTATTATCACAGCAATCTATGAATTTTAGTCATTTAACGGTAGAATAATACAGGAACCAAATTAAATTGTAATTAGTACTCGTAAATGGATATACATACATTTATATGTATATTATACACCTCATAGCGAAAGAAACAACGAACACGGTACTATATCATACACTATGATCATAAAAAAATTAAAAAATTTTGTTAAATATGAGTGATCTTCAAAAACTAAACATTCTAAAAAACCAATGATGATCGCTGTGAGGATCTTTTAAAACCGCAGTTTTATTAAAGACATTTCTTCATATTTCTACCATTGTTTTAAAGATATTTAGAAATATAAAAATCGATTCTTTTCTCAAAAAGGTATTTAAAAAGGTACCCTCTAAATCTGCGCTAGAAAGTACCTACAAGAAGCAAGTCTCTCCTATCTTAACCTAATCAGCAACATCCGAAGCGCATCGGAAAGGGACACTCGTACATTTCCTTGTAAGTATAAACATACTTACAAACTTACATAATTTATTTATCAGATTGCGATTGTACAGTTAGCATATTCAAAGCTATTTAAATGCGTTTAGTCTAAATCGTACACGTACGAATCGTCATGATATCTCGCAACAATTAAAGATAATCAGTAAATTTTCCTAGACAATAATTACGAATATAGCATGGCTAATACGTTAAGATAAAGTCGGTGACATAAAAAAGTCGTCGGTTTTATGGTTATGTACTTAAACTCTTCTCACTCTCCTCATGTGTACGTGAATAACTTTAAAGCATAAATAAGAGTTACGTTCTCGTTGTTTAAAATAGACATAATAATTAAACTTATGCTATTTATAAACCAAAGACGATCCGCTCTGGACGTTGTCTAAACTTTAATGTACGTAGGGACGAATCTTAAAATATACATGATTGTATAACATACACATACGAATTTTATTTACATAGATTCTAATACTGAAAATCTATGTTAAAGGAAGATACTGGGAAATTTTTATTTCTCAATTTTCTCCAATTAACTGAAGAATTCATATTTGATTTTTTTCTTGTTCACGATAGGAAATCATGTTTCAACAGAACAACTCCGAGTGAAGAAGCAACTTTCCGCGTGTTAATGACAATTACTGATGTGTATATTTCGTGCGATAAGCTTTATAAAGTTACGTTGATAACTCAGCTCAAGTTCAGGAGCGAAATCTGTTGAATAATGCAAAAAAGTTATCTTCTTCGAGGAGCCACTAAATAACTCACTTAACTAACGACACTTGTTTATACTCAACTTATATGAGTTGAATGTATTACCAGTAATGCATTATGGCCTCCAAGTTATTTATATCAAATGTATTATCACAGTGCTACACTGGCAAAGAGATTTAATGTGTCAATATGTATTATTTCAAGTAAGATTCTTTCATAAAAATGAATTGTGGTTTCACATTCGACTCAAATTTTTAACTTGAAACTTCTCCATGCATCGGATGCACACAAGAAAAATCGATTGTGTAATATCGTATATATGTACATTTGTTCAAATTGGAAGCGGATTCTAAATTCGTATTGTGTTGAGTCTTTATCGTAATACATAATTCTTTCTTATGTTACAACTACATGTAGGTCTTTGGAGCATTCATTCAACGGCTTACGATGCCGTGCTTTTCCGATGACGATCATACGACGACAAATTATTATCCTTGTGACAAGGCATCAAATCTCAAGTCCATAACACTACGCATCTTGGTATGTAGCATGTACATGGTATGTGTGTATGTGTATGTTTAAGAGCTGCGGATAGTTTGTAGGCATGAATTATAAAAGTTTTTCTTTAGAACTTTTTTATAAAAAAAATTGACACGTTTTTTAAATGTTCAATGTTTTTATTATATTCTGAGGGAATTACATATTTTTTCATAACTGAAACTTGCATATTAATTGAATTATAAAACACGTGGCGTAACATGTGTACTACAAATGATGTTCTGAAATGCATGATATAGCTGCATTTGAAAAAAGCAAACAAGATGTGTGTCTTATAATTTTCTAAAAAATTTCAAATTCCTTTAATTCACGCCTACAAATTAGCTTGCTCCAAGAGATATATGTAGATGTAACATAAGAAAGAATTATGTATTGTGATAAAAATTCATTAATATAATACGAATTTAGAATTCGCTACACATCCAATTTGAACAAATATACATGTATACGATATTACACAATAGATTTTTCTTACACGCATCCGATGCATGGAGAAGTTTCAAGTTTGAAATTTGAGTCAAATGTGAAACCACGATTTATTTTTATGAAAGAATCTTACTTGAAATAACATATTTTAATATGTTGGTTCTCTTTGCCGATGTATTACTGCTAATACATTTGATAACTTGGAAGCTTGTGCATCGGTAATACATTCAACTTATACAAGTTGAGCATAAAAAATATCGTGGGTTAAGTGAGTATTATTTAGTGGCTCCTCGAAGAAGATAACTTTTTTTACGGTCACATTATTCAACAAATTTCGCTCTTGAACTTGAGCTGGATTACCAACGTATTGACTTTATAAAGCTTATTGCACGAAATGTGTATATCAGCAATTGTCATTGACACGTAGAAACTTGCCTCTTCAACTCGGAGTTGCATCGTTCTATTGAAACACGACTTCCTATCGTTAGAAAGAAAAATCAAGATATCTCTCCGATATCTCCCTTTAACTTAGAAATTTTCAGCATTAGAGTCTATGTAAATAAAATGTTTGTATGTATATATTATAAAACTATGTATATTTTAAAATTTGTCCCTACGTGTACATTAAAGTTGAAACAACGTTGATAACCAGAGTGAATCGTCTTTGGTTTGTAAATATCATAAGTTTAATTATTATGTTTATTTTAAACATTATTATGTTTATTTTAAACAACGAGCTATATCATGCACATCAGCAGAACACGAGCGTGTTATGACGCGCTCTGCAACTCAACATGCGAGTTTCAATTATGAAAAAATTCCATGCAATTTCCTCAAAGTATGATAAAAATATACTGAAAACTTAAAAAATGCGTGTCTTTTAATTTCTTTATAAAAAAAATGCCAAAGAAATCTCTTAAATCGTGTCTGTAAACTATAAATAGAGTCCCCATGAAGTCTCCTGCAATTATGCTATAATGATAGTGAAGCTAATGGACTCTTTCGAGTCATTATTTGGTAACGTTTAATTGCTCCAAGAGACTCTCCCTCATACGAAGACATGCCCACGCCTTGTCCTGTTCTTTCTTCGTCAGTGGCGTCTTCGTTTGCTTCGCGAAAGTCAATTTTTTGTAGTGCTCTATCACTTCGTTGTCCGCGCTGCTGATTTTCCGTTTCAATGCTTGCCTCTTGCTCTCCTCCTGCGCCAAATTCAGCAATCTCCTCAGCTGCGTGACATTGTGACTGGACAACGCAGAAAGCTCCTGCTGGCATCTCTTGATCTCTGCGAGAATCTCATCGTCCTCCTGATTCTTCTTCTGCCCATCAGGCTCCAGAATCCCCTGTTCGACCAGCTCCTTGTGCATCCGCAGCTCCAGATTCATGGAGTTATGTATGCTCAGATCCCTCAAGACGGCCGGGTCACCGTCTCGGAACAATTTGTTCTCTGTATTATTATTCCCTACGAATACATTCTCCTCGAGAAGAGCGGAGACCAACCTCTGAGTGAGAGGCCCCACGATGCCGTTAACCTTCTTGTCACCCTTGGATATCAAGTGCGACATATCTGTGCGATTCTTCTTCTTCTCTCTGTTCGGGTTAGCTGCATCCTCCTCTTGCAGCAAGTCGCTATGCGCCCACATCAAGCTGTAGTGTCGGCCCAAAGAAGGGATCTTCTTGAATTCACTGGTGTCACTGTGTGTGACGATTAATTCCTCCAGCAACTTAATATCGTCAGGCATGATGTCAGTGCAATAAGGATCAACAGAGGCCCAGAACTTGTTGGGTGTATCATTTTTCGGTAAGAGCAACTTTGGGGCATCTTTTGTCCCCTCAATCCTCGCGACTTCATGCACATTCGGCACCACTTGATTGGTCGAGTTCCCTACTGCCTTCTGTTTGAACAGTTTTGTGTGCAGAGGCGACTGACTCTTAGTGCTGGCATCTTTTGGCTTGAGTTTTTCCTCACGTACTTTCTTGTCAATGAGAGATAGACTCTTGCCACTTTTCGACCGTCTGTCTCGACGTTCCTCTGCTGACGACAAGCTGGTGATCTCCTCTTGAAGAGTACGGCATCGTACAACAGCAGAGGACAGAAGCATCTCCAACTCCAATTGTAATGCATCGATGTCCTCCTTTTGTATACCTTCCTCTTCCGTGCGATTCAAGAGCTCGGTATACTTGGGCAGATCTCGACTGTTGTCGACTGTCTTCAAAACAGTCAGAGACATCATCGGTTCTGGAGCCTCCGCACTTGTCTCCGAATGATTCACCAGTGAAGACTGTGCGGTCTTGCCAGACTCACGCCCTTTGACGACAGCTTTCTTCGAACTTTGTTTCCCCTTCCCAGACATATTTCTCAATGGATTGTAGCAGTCAACAAAGAAGAAACAGTCACGTTGTTGATCCGAAAATTGTTACCTCTGCGACCAGCTTCGATAGCCTCAAACGGATATCATATTGCATCTGTAACAATTATATTCGATGTTTCAAACATTTCGCAACCATCACTGTCGGAATTTTAATGTTACCTCACTTGTTGCGCCTAACTTTTTACAGAAAATATCTTTTATTTACGGAAACGATAATACAAAAATATGATTACAAAGTATAGGTTAGGTTAAAGGCTAGGTCTTCTCGCCACCACTAATCATAAAATAATGCGTATATAGATAGACCAGCTCTCTTTTTTATGGTTGCAGACCTGTTCCTTTTAACCAAGGTTGCGTTCCGTTTCACGCATTATGCGCGCATTGCCTACAATATACGTAACATGAACTATAGATAAATGCGCGCATATGCGTGAAACGGAACGCAGCCCAAGTAAAGCTAGCATTCCGTTCGGAATGAAGTTAAAGCCAGCGGTACACTGTTCTGATTGGTGCATTTCTGAAGATGGATGCAAATTCACCAATCAAAACAGAGTATTTCCATGCAGCAAGTAATCCAATACGAAAACAAGCACCGTGTGCCGCTGGCTTTAAGCCGGAATCAGACTACGCATTGAAGATTGAGGATTGCGGATTGAAGCTTATAGCGTATTCGACTGACCCTGGGTTAATCGCTCGGAGAGTGATTAATGACGTCATAAGTCTCTACTAGCCAATCATAAAGCTTATAAGTATTTGTTCGACCAATAAATGTAAACTGAATAATCCAGAATGAGTTAACCCAGAGCCAGTCGAACATGCTATTAGATTCCGACAAATCAACAAACTTTAGTTTTGGCTTGCTTTACTTCAATTGGTCAAATAGCAATCTTTAATCCGCAATCCTCAAACTCCAATGCGTAGTCTGATTCCGGATTTACAGGCGGTTTAAAAACAGAGTGAGAAATTTGAATTACCCTTAGTACTTTTTCGTGAATAACGCCTCAAATATTATACATACAAGATAGCATTTTCAGCGTAAAACATCAAATAATTCATAAAAGAAATAATATTTGAAGTATGAAGAATGAAAAATCGTGGTTGTAATATAGCTCAACAGTGCTGCCAGATTTTTATTTTCGAGTAATACGACTCAATAGTTAATTAGGTAGCTTTTAATTTCATATAATAGGACAACAAATTAGAGAAGGATCTTTTATTTTCAAGTAACAATTATTAAAAATTGTTTTCTCATTATTTAAAAAAAGCGTAAGAAAGTGTAAAAAAGTACATATAAAGCAAGGAATTTATATTTTTGGTCTGTTCTTTTTAGCTACACTGAACTAGTGCAATAGTTAGAGTAATAGCGAATTCGGTTGCTTGCACTAGTGTGCACTGAGTGCGCACTAAGGCTTGTTCATAGTATGTTATTATATTTAAAGATTGTCTTAAATAATTCTCAAATAAATCCTCAAATATTTTTAACCATAATATGATATGTATAACATCTGTACGAATCATTTTATTAGTTAAAATGTTTTTAAATATGTATTTAAGACACGATCTTAAATATAAGAATGTACTGTAAACAAGCCTTAATGCGAACTCAGTGCGCACTAGTGCAAGCTACCGAATTCGCTATAAGAAAAAATATACTTGTCTCACTTTAACTTATTGCACCAGTTCAGCGGTGTAGCTAAAAGGAACATACCATTTGTATCCGTCACTGATCATGACAAACATGTTTGCATGCAGATCGGAATATCTTATGATAAGCACGAAGATATATTTTATTCTGTCAAAAGCAAAATTGTTAGTAAATAACACATTTAGGACAAAAACGTGTATTAATATCGTTTCATGAATATTTATACAGGTTAGTTTAATTTCAAAACAAAGAATGACCAGTAGATTTCTACATAAATAGTAACATGGCAGAAAAGGGTGCTTATTTAACTGGAACTGTATATAATAGGCCTACTCTTTTTGAAATTCTTGCACAGAAATCACTTGCATCTACTCTTGAACCGGCTTTTAAAAAGGTTCTTTCGGTACGTTACTCAAAATAATTCTTGCGATACAACATATTAGAATAATACAATATTAGAAAAGTATGTCTTAAAAACTAAAATTACAGCAAATTGACGATAATCACATACTTTTTGCAAAGCAAAAAATATTTTAAACAAATTATATGTATATTTGCTTTTATATATCAAAATTTTTAATCATATAAATTTTTAACAATTTTAGTTTCTTGTATCTTTCAATCCTGAAAGATATAGACATGTTCTTCAATGGGAAGATGAAGGTTATTTGTTATTTAATATACTTCTTCAGAGATATTACCTAAGAAAATATTGTAAGTATCTTTAGATCATGTTTTCAAAACTAGATAATTTTGTTTAACTTATCTATGTAATTCTTTCTTTAGAAATAACAAAATTTTTTTCTTGTTTATTTTCAGCTGCATCCTTTTCTGAAACATTTTATGGTTTGAAGCGTATTGTGGTAGTCAATTCAGAAACTAGTCAGTCAGAACTTAAAGAAAAACTATCACGCAAACAAAAAATACTATCATTGATATCACTCGCATTATTACCATATCTGAAAACTAAACTTGCACAACTCATCTTAAAATATCAATTTGAAGAAGCAGATGGTTGCGTAACACAAGGGGCAAGTATAATATGCGAAAAGAAAATTCTTATTATCTTTCTAAACATATTACATGAATCAGTGTCTTTTATTAAACAAAATTAAATACTGTTTGATACAGAGATTGCAGAGGCTTTTCCGTAAATGTGTCATTAGAGGACATTTAATTCTCTTTACATTGTACAAATCCTTAGAGATCTACAGTTACATACTTTATATATCAGAAGAATCGATGTATCCATCATCCTTACTAAGACTGTTACGTATTACATTGACATACTCCGAGCCACAGTCCACTCAAACTATCATGGATCTACTAAATAAACTAAAACATAATTCGTTCACCTTCGACGATGGATGGGACATGTTTCAGAGAACTGTTACTTCTTGCCTCGAGTTGGGGGCTTTCTTCCTACAGTTCCTTTCTTGGTGGAATCAAGAGAATTATATGACAGACCTTATGAATCTTCCATCTCCACCACCTCCAGATGTAAAAACAAATACAATTATCGAATATTCGAAAATTACGGAGGAAAATATAATATCCTTTTATTTTACAACAGGTGTCAAAGACTGCATTACGTCACAAAGGTACCTGTCCACTTTGCCACATGCCTCAGCGTATACATACTGTCCTTATGGTGTCTGGGTAAATTCATAAGATACTCTTTTATTTTAATATTTTAATATTACAGAATATATATTAGATTAAATTAATGTAACATTTAAATCTTCTCTTGCAGTTTTGTTTTTTGTTATCAATGTATTTTGTCGGAAGTACGCGAAAACAAGAGATGTCCAGTGACGCATTATCCTGCCACGGAGGACGATTTAGTACGCCTATACATAGATACATAAACTCGTCTAGATCGATATATATATTTAGATTGTTCTATGTATAAAATTTAAACTCAGGGGTGTAAATACAGCGCAAATATTACTTTTTAGCTAACATCACACACTGTTCCAAGGTGTTCAATTATTTATTTACTGTATATTATACAGGTGCATTGGTAAATAAAGGAAGAACATTTCTTATTCTCAAAATAACAAACTTTATTCTTATGACTTCTCAGCATATTAAATGGCAAGGTTCTAATCGCTTCTAATCACTAAACTAATGACTATAATATAATCTTTACAAACTTACATTTCGATAAAATATAGCAATCTTCGATATAGCGAATTTCAAAATTATATCGCTATCGTAGAGTTATAGTAAAACATACGCCGAGTCGGAAAACGGCAACAAATAACATTCCAAAGTGATTTCGATGTATTAATGCACGATGCTTCGAAGATTGAATTGCTAATGCGGTGAAAGTGCTCAGTGTGACTACCGGTTATGTACAAATAACGCTCTCTAACAAAATAAAACCGTCTAAGACACATTATAACGTAATAAGGCACATTCTTCTTAAGAATATGTAATTGAATCTAATTACTGCTTCGGAGAGAATTTTATTCCTTTGTTCGTGTGCGAGACAAAATGTCAATCAATCTCTTCTAGTCTTTCTTTGCTTTTATTTTGGTCAACCTTGGAATCTTTACGATTTACTTAGATATTTATAAATAGAACATTCAAGAATATAATAAAAAATATTTACCGTTTTTATTGATGGTCCAATATTTAGTTTCAATAACGACACAATGTCACTTTACAGTTATTGTACATATATGTAATCATACTGGAAACAGTCATGCATTGGGCATCAAGTATCAGTATTAACTGCTAATTGTATCTAGAATATTGTGCGTCGTAAAAAGTGCCAATAGACATTATCACTTTCTTTATCTATAAACTTCAAATTAAAGATAACGAAAATACGTCCAATGTGAATTTTAAATATCAATTAATAGCTAAAAATCGAAAAAGTTAGTCCGAAATTCTAATATTCACAGGTACACATTCTCTTATGTCACATACAATACTGATCGACGTTACTTTTGTTTACAATCCAACGATTTCGTATATCCATACAACACGACCCAAATTACACAGGGAGCGTTTAAAATTTGTTTAAATCATAGTTTTTACAATTTATAATTTTTTTCGACATTTACAGGCACGAAAATGAATTATCGATGCTCAAGTTTATGATGATGCAAGATGAATCACAGATAATGTTGTTATAATTTAACTCGTGAGAACGAAATAAGGTGAGAGAGATTTTACGAAGGAACTCTTATATGTGCACATATAAATAAAAATATACTTTTCCAATAATTTTTTCCATTGTCATAATGCGTATTCTACGATTCTCTTAAGTGTACATGAGAATTCTTCTAAACTGAATTATCGCAAGACGTATATCGATAGGCGACAGATTTAAACGCATTACACAGAGCATTTTCAATTCTTTGGAAAATAAAAGTAAATATGTTGCAGAGAAAAGTAGAAAAGTCACTATGCGATTACGAAGCAATTGTATTTTGCTGAACGCAACCAGGCTTGCAACAATTTGAAAAACATGCTACATCTCTATAAAAATAGAATTCTCTTCGAAGATTTTATATCTTTTGGCATATTGCCAAATATAATTTACTAAACATGTTTGATAAACGTGCACGATAGAGAAACATACTGAAAACAATATCAGATATAAAATATTCACTCGAATTTATAAGAATACATATACATATTAAAACGGATACGTATCTGAATGAAAATAGCATATTTATTTTGATTTACTTCGTGTCATTCTCATAGACGAGTCGAATGATTACACACATTTAACTGTTAGCATGCAGATTCATCTATCATGCTGCATCTTATAACAATGTGAAATGTACATATTGTGTGTATACACAAAATGCTTCATCAGTACCGGACTGAATCTTAATAGCAGATTTTTCAACAAAGTCATAGTTGATTATTCAATAATCAACGTTAAATGTATTATATTTATATTTTACATAAAATCTAAAATTGAAAGATAAAATTTGGTCAAAATGAATTCGATTTGTCGTCAATAATATAATTTCCAATATGTAGAAAGTAGATTACCTCATCTACTTTCTGAAACGTTTGTTATTAGAAGATATTAATTCTGCCAAAAGATATTAATTCTCCTAAAAAACTTAAGACATCTCGTTCGGTAGCAATGAAACGTTCCATGTATAAAGCGTACGTTTGAGTATTCTATAACGTATACGTACGTACGTATCTATACATCATTTTCTTATAATTTTCAAATTCAATTGAGAGAATTTTACTAGTGCTTTACTCAGCATGGGGATAGAAGAGGAGCATTTAATCGACACTGCCGTGTTAAAGAAGTTCTTAAGGAAAAATATCGTACTTGTATTATAATTCCTCAAAGAAGGCAACTCTAGCTTTAGTAGAGCCAGATTTCACTTTCTTCAATGTACTATACTTGTTCTCACCGAGTCGAACCTGCTCTTCGTGCAGTTGATCTAACTCGCACTGCTTCTCGCCGACCTTCATAACTTCAATTTCGGAACGTAATTCCCGCAGTTGTTCCTGTAGATGTTTGCTCTTCTCCCAATAATCAACTCTTTCCTTCTCGATTTCCAGCGAGAGTTGATCGACATCTCCTTCAGCAATGAGATCATAGGAACGCAGATCAGGTAGGGGTTCCGTATCGAGTTGAATATTCTGAAGATCTGCTTGAAGGTCCGATGGTAGAACTTGCGTCGAGGGAAACAAGTTCGACACAGGCTGCATAGACAAGTTGAACAAATAATTCGTAAATCAGCAATGTGATATTTTACACCAAATGTCAAATATACTAATAGATGTCCTAATATTCGCTAAACTTAAATATATATAATTAATTAATAATATTAATTATTTTGGGAAAAAACAGACACACACAACACGAAACAATAACTACTAACGTTCGACATTGCGATTATATTACAAACAAAAAACTAAATGCAAAACAAAAGTAAATTAAATGCAAAAGCAGAAATAATTTTATATTAAAACAAGTGAACAGATTTATACTTACAGGTATAGTAGCACTATAAGCGTTTCTACTGAGGAACTCTAACAGCTTTTCCTTGGCTTCTTTTTCAGCGATTCTTGCGCGTAACAATTCGTCTTTCAATTTTTCCGCCTCGGCAGCTCTACGCTCCGATTCTTGCACCAGTCTTTCCGTTAAAAGTTCAGCTTCTCTAGTCTTTCGTTCCAAATGGACCTTCTCTTCTTCAGTCTTCATGTTATTCAACCGTATGCGAGTGATTTCTTGCTCGGCTTCTGATGCTTTTTGGCTTAAAAGCATCGCTTCTTCTTCAGCTACGCGACTTTTCTCAGCTAAAAGATCTGCTGTTTCTTCAGATCTCCTCTAAAAACAGGAGATCAATTGCAATCTAAATATATAATGTATAAATATAACCAAGTATATTAAATTATACACTTATAATTAATACATAGACTGGCACACAATTGAGCCTTAATATCTAGTGACACAATAGAACTCGCATCATATTTATATAACTGTAGATCTCATAACCGTTAATTATCAAGAGATGATAATTATAAAAATATACATGAAATTTTTGCAAGATACTTGTAATAACACCTAAAAACAAGCTACAAATACGATACAACAATCTAGGATTATTTAAGATAACCTTGAAAATGTCTATTTACGATTTAAATATTATCAGCATAGATACTATCGGTTTCGAGTGACTTGAATTGATTAAAAAACTTCTTTACATCTTATGCGCCTTACAATTATAGAAATTTTACGACAAAGTGTCAAGATAACAGAATGTCAAGACAACAGACAAAGTGTCAAGATAACAGAAACAGAGTTAGATTTTTTAAAAAATCTGTCACTGCAGACTTCAAATCATATTGTACGATACTGACGCAGATGATTAAAAAGTCTTAGTTACTATTGTGCTAATAAATGTTAAGACTATTATGTCAGTCCACGAATATTATTTTTCGTTTGTGATATCTTACAAGAGCTTCGTTCGCAAGTCGAATCTCCTCCTGGTACTGCAAAAGTCGCTGTTCCATTGCAGCTTTTTCTCTCTCAGCCGCTTCCCTTAACTGTTTCTCTCGTGCTAGTTTACTTCTTTCCACTTGCCTCCTAATAACAACACAAACATTTTAAAACAACATCTGTGTGAAAAAAAATCAATTTATGATCAAACTACATCAAATATCAAGTCGGATAGTGCATAACTTATATCTTATCTACAAAGTATATGAAAACTATGTACAATTTTTTTGTAAATTAAAATCTGTTAACACAATGTATAAAAATATACTATAATAAATAGATATTTACTGACCTCAGCATATAATAGACATGTCTAATTGTCAGTTCCTATAAAATTTGCAGAAGGAAAAGAAGCATGTTTGTTAAGACCTAGTAATAGTTATGCAAGGGAAAATATTACAAAAGCTGCATTTTAATATTAAATAATTAATTGTTTCAGGAGCACGTAATGTAAAATTAGCTGATATCAGTCACTTTAAAGTCAACTTTCACAAATACATATATACATAATTAATTGATACATATTATGAATTAATATAAATCACTCTGCATACCCGTACAGAACATTTATTTTATGAAAACAAAGTGTTTTTTCATAACATTCACTTGCCTTTGTTTCTCTTCCTTGGCCTGTGCTTTCATCTGCTGAACTTCCATGGAGTCCGGTTTACGCCTCCTCATAAATAGATCATGGTTGCCAATACACAGGTCCAGGATCTTAACAAATAACACGTGAGTAGTTTTGTCACTATTATGTTCGTCCAACCCTAAAGCTATCAACCCCTTCACCCAGCCGCCAACATCTGACTGTTTCTTTACCAGTTTGTTCATGCGAACTTTCTGCGAGAAGAACACGAAATTCGGTGACGTTTTCTCCACGGGTTTGATTACGAATTTCTTGTCGTCGAAGCTGATATGACGGATCTCCGACCATGTAAACGTAGTCTTCGGGGCTAGTTTGTTCTCCTTTTCGTAAATATTTAATCCCAAGGCTGTTACTCCAAGCCAGAGATCTGTTTCCTTTTTATTCTGCAAACGCAAACCAAAAGACTGAAATGCTTTATCAATTATATTTTTGCTTAGTGTCTAAAAGTATAATAGCGAAACAAAGTGAATTTATATTCAGATGCGAACACAACCGACGCGAATCTCGCCGTTGGCATCTCGACACTTACACTAATAGGAAAATAATTTACGCCGTACATATCGAGATCCTGAGCGATTTTAAGGTATTCCATTTCTGCTTCATCCCTAGACATGCCGCGATGATCAGCATACCAAATTTTTATCCTGTCCTCCCACATCTCAGGAGTCATTTGGTACTGATCTATCACTCTTTGTGGAAGCAGGTCTTCGCTGGCCAACATTCCCGGCCGATATGAAACTTCGTCATAATCTCCGTACTGATAACGAAAATAGATGTCAATACCTTGTCCAATACAGTTATAATCATAATCAGATATATATTACAAATTATACATTACTTCATTATACTGATTCTGTGTGCAAACAATCTTAAGCTATTTTTATAAAACATTATTGATTTAAAGTATTTTTAATTTAATATTTTATTTGTCACGTTTTACAATTTATCTTTCTATGAACATTTTTATCTTTATATTTGTAAACATTAAATATTTTCTATCATGTTTTTCATCAAAATATCCTTCACACACAAGTCAAAGAATGGTTAATAAACAAGTTATTTATATAAGAAGCATGTAGAGACAAAGTGGAACAAATCCAACGTCTACTTGCTTCAAAAATAGAATTCTATTTAATAGGTATGTTACAGATTTTGGACTTGATCCACTTTTCCTCTAAGCAATTTATATTTTTGGCTGAAATATATCTTCTATATGATTCAACAAGTACATGATATTTAGCACATAAATATGAACACTATCTATAATTTGATATAATTTACTGCTTATTATGTAATTTACTACTTTCTTGTATCAACTATATGCAAAATAATTTCTATACATTGTATATTAATTCTTGTAAATTGTATTCTTTTAGCAGAAACAACAGGAATTACCTTTGCTTGGACAGCATAAGAAGCTAGCAATACAGAAGCCTCAGGTGGACAATAAATATCCATGGAGAGTATGGCCTGTTTTACTTGTAGGAAAAATAAGTGTTGAGTAACTTCTTGCACAAGTTCTTCAGATACATCCTCGGGATAGAATTTAGCCAAAAACATAAAGGGTGTGGTTGGTTGCTGTGAAATACCCTGATCCTGGACTAAAAGTGATTTAATTTTGTTAAAACAAACACAATGGACCCAGGAGATTCAGTATCACACAATTAATAGTTAATTGCATTAACCTTTTTTGTCCAGTTTTAGCCAAGAGATAAAACCTTTTGCATCCTCATACTGTAGTCCAAAGTACCATGTTTCTCTCAATCCTATTGTGCGACACACCAAATCAAACAGATCTCTACCTGTCGATCTCCACTGTGGAACCGTGTGGAATTCGTTAGAGCTTGCGAAATGATGTTAAGGGTGTCCCTCAACGAGTGTCAAAAGCTCTGCTCAGCAAGGGACGCCCTGTGCAAAAATGATAAACACTGTGACAAGCACTACGACTAACCTCCAGGTTGAACTCGAGCTCCGCGTCCAAGGTGCAGACTTTCACGGGAAAGGACTTCCCCGACTTTTTTCTGCGGAACGGTGACATCCTACTTCTCATTATGTTCGCAACGGCATCGCGAAAGACACGTTGCAGTGATCGCTATTGCGACAAAGCGTTATCGTGAACGATAAACGATATTACAACTCGCACCGAAAAACACCTCGACGAAGCATCGACATTTCACATTGTGGTCCCTCCCGCCTGCAATGTGTGGTAACGAGCTCTGAGCAGAACGGGAAACCTTTTATTTATCCACCTATCTGCGACGCGACATATCGCAAAACGCGAATCTCGAACGGCCGGCACAGATTGTTCAAACGGCCGACATCTTCACTCGCACATGCTCGCACAATCACGTCCTGCTTGACTCGCGAATTTCACACATGATCGAACATTTGATATTCTTGCCAGGGTAATCGACGTGCGTAAGTGTATATACCTGAAAACGATGACTCGTTCCCACCCTCACACGTGCGTGTGTGACATACTATACACTAATATATATAGTCGTGCAAATTCCAACAAGGCTGCTGGACTTGACGTTGAGTCGTACTACGACTCGATCTTTTTTACCAAACAGTAGCGACGCGTTCGAAAACACTGAAAGTCCACGACGGAAAGTGGCTGTGGTGGATGGGCTTGGTGGGGTTAGTGGAGTTGGTATCGAGAGGAGTTTTCGACAGCCATGGAAGAATGCTCAATGTGACATACTACATGTGTGTTGTGCCTACATATGTTGTATAAAATGATCGAAAGCGTATTTCGACATTAGCTATAATTGCTTCTCAGCAAAATAATAATAAATTAATAAATTTAGTAATTAATTAATTAATTTAGTAATTATTAATTTATAATTTAGTTATCTGGAAAGTTAATTGATTATATATTCCTCGGTCCGAGAACTCGGATCGATTTCTAGCATCGTGGGCACCAGGCCTAAGGAAATTTATAAACTTATTTATTATTCCTTACCTTTAACATCGTATATATAGACATTTCCCTTGTCATCCTTTTGTATATTTTTTTTAATTTCCATGCATAAAATATGACGACTCGGGATGAAATTTTCCATTTTTTTTCACAAATTGTTACTGATTCGTGACTTTTAACGTGCCTCGTATCTCGTAAGAAAATTTCAGAACCTATAAAATACAAAAAGCTTAATAAGCTTTATTTATATTTAAAGACAATATTCTGACAATATACATCACTATAGAAATAAACCTAAACCTGGCTAACCTACACTGCTGTATTTAAATTTTTTATCTTACCGTGATGGCTAATAGTTGTACGAATGTTTCGAAGAACAAAAAACCATAAATAATTTAGTAATTTCATACTGTATTGCACTCTTTGCACACTCTCCACCATCTTCACCGATTCACACGCGCAAAAGAGACTGGAGAAAAGTCACACGAGTGGTCCACGGAGTACGGTTTTCGAACGGCCATGGTCGCATGGTCAGTGTGCCCACTAGGGGTTTTCAAACGATCTGAGTGTGACAAAATACACACGGGTGATGTTTTCGAACGCACCCCTTATATGACATCCGATATCTAATAAAAGAATAGCTTTCTAATGGAAAATTGAATTCTATATTAGAAAGCTGTTCTCCTATTGAATATCAGACGTCGTAGTTTCAGTTTCAATATTTGGCTGAAAGCACTATGCTTTAAGTGATTCTACGCCATTGCTCCCAATCAGACGTCGTACGTCGGACATCAGACATGAAGTTTGTTCGAGTTGCTTGTACTATTCACACTTTTACACCTAATGCCCGTTGCACACTAGTGCACCTCATACAATACAAATTTTCCAAAATACGTTCTGAAGACGCTTTTAGGACGGAGGGATGTCATCAGAATATTTTTAAGACGTCCTTTGAAGATGTGAGCTGTCTGACAATAGCTAATATCCAATAAGTTTATTCGCATTAATTGAACTTTTTACACTTTCACACTTAGTGCACATTAATTCTTTAGAGGTTCTAAAAATGACGTCATGAGGTCCGTTCGTGTTACGAGTGTAATTGCAATTTTGATACACTTTTTACACTTGATCCTAAGCAAGAGTGAAAAGTGTATCAGAATTGCATTTACACTTGTAACACGAACGGAAAACATGACGCCATTTTTAGAACCTCTAAAGAATTAATGTGCACTAAGTGTGAAAGTGTAAAAAATTCAATTAATGTGAATAAACTTATTGGATATTAGCTATTTTCAGACAATTCACACTTTCAAAGGACGTCCTAAGAATATTCTAATGACGTCCCTCCGTCCTGAAAACGTCTTCAGAATGTATTTTTGAAAATTTATGTTGTTTGGAGTGCACTAGTGTGCAACGGGCATTAGGTGTAAAAGTGTGAAAAGTACAAGCAACTCGAACAAACCTATGGTGTGAATCCTACATTAGCAATCTAGTTTAGTATAGACATCTGGGCCCCTATTCTTGAAATAGTTGCGTATACGTAAGTTTTACTGCGCAAGTTTAATCATACCATAAAATAGCTGCGCATTGAAAATTACGTATAAGCAAAAATTTCAAGAATAGGAGCCCTGTGCATCTTCAATAAGAGAATTGGCTGTTAAGCCAGCGGTGCTTGTTTTCATGCTGGATTGCTTGCTGATTGGTGCATTTCTGAAGATGGATAGAAATATAGCAATCAAAACAGAGTATATATAATATGTCACATATTTCATACAGTTCAATTAAAATAAATTAACCAAGCTCTTTGCAATCTTTGATAATTGCAATCTGATCATCTAACGTGAGACAAGTTTCAAGTAATAACTATTAATACAGGTTCAGTCCTTGTTTAAGGAAAGTTCTCAAATAAGAGAATCTTGAGAATCTCAAATAATTAATAAGCTGAAATAATATGTTACATAATTCTTTAAATAAAGAAGATAGAATATTTTAATATACTTTAAATATGATACATTACCTTTTGTTGTTCGTAAGACGAACTCCTGGGGTCCGATATTTGATGATGTACGAATGAGATACGCATGCGAAAACAGTATACGTAACGTGAACTAAACTATTTTCGCATGCGTATCTCATTCGCATACCATCAAGAATCGAGCCCCTGATCTGCTCCTGTGTTCATGAGACGGCAAGAGCAAGAGCAGACCATAGAATATTATAGTTATAGATGGGAGATTGTACTATTCTCGGGTGGGACCCGATTGACCACGATACGATTGGACACAGATTGTAATGATTGGTTCGACCTAGTAATTCACTACATAATTCTTTTCATCGGTTGGTTGTGTCCAATCGTACTGTGGTCAATCGGGACGCTCCCACTATTCTCTCGGATCCAGATCTTACTCACTCTATCTCGTTATCGTAAGCATCCACTGGCCGCGTTCAGTAGAACAAGTGATCAGTAAGCGCTCAGTGAGCTCTTGCATCTGATTGGAGTATAGTTGGAGATCTAAAAGAATATGCCAAATCATATACAAGAGCTCCCTGAGCGCTTACTGATCACTTGTTCTACTGAACGCGGCCACTGTTGAACTGGTGCAATAAGTTAGAGTGAGAAAAAATATACTTATCTCACTTTAACTTATTGCACCAGTTCAGCAGTGCAGCTGAAAAGAACAGACCATATTTCAGTGTAGACTTCGTGCACTAATGCAAAAAGTGTACTTGAAGAAACAGTTTTATGGATTGTGTTGAATTGTCGCTATATTAAACAATACAGAAAAGAAGAGTTGCTACTTTACCATATAAATTAACCAAAAATAAATAACATAAAGGATAGAAGAGTTAAAAGCTAAAACAATTATCAATGAAGACTGCTCCACATCAAAGGTTAGTCATGGTGGGTGATCGCGACGGGTAAGTTTTTATATAATATAAACAATTAATTGTTTATATTTTGCACTGATTCTATAAATTGATTAATTCTAATTCTTTAGACTCACAGAATTCTTTAGATTTACAGAAGTAAATTTCTTCAATTTTATAAATTTTCTGTCCTGTTATATCACAACTAGGATTTTGATTTAAAAAGAAAACTTGTTAATTGAAGTTAATTAGGGAAATACAACTTGATAATCATAACTATTATGACTAACAAGATGAATGTGTATATTTTAAAAATTATTTTCAGATTAAAAGAATTGCTGAGACGTAGACTGGTTGAATGTGGATGGCGTGATCAAGTAAAGCTGATATCAAAGGAGCTAATAAAGGAACATGGTCATGATATTACTTACGACATATTACTATCTACTGTGACAACCAAGGCTCGCACACTTGTGCCAGATTCAGTTAAGAAGGAACTGTTGCAAAAAATCAGAAATCAATTGATAGCTCAGGAGGAGAAACTAAAGATTGCATCGGATCGTTAAAATTGAGTTTTACAATGTTAATTACTCTTCTTTATATATAAGTATTTGTATGTTAGAATAATCTTTTATAAATTATATAATTACGATAATAATTATATAAGTTTTTCATGAAACATTACAATACTTGATGTAAATATTATATTAAGTCATATACGATGATCATTGCAGCTAATTATATAAGTAACTTTCTATATAGCTTTCTATATAGAATGTGATAATAATAGATGATCCAAATATATTTTTAAGAAAAAATATGTATAAAATATAGTAATTATACAAATTAAATATATTACAAATTAAATATGCTTAATTCATTCAATATTTAAGTGACATATATGCAGTTATAATGGAATAAATATATGGTTACTTATTGTACGATATTTTCATGATTGCATTCCAAAAAATCCTTTTTAAGGAAAATTTTACTAAAAACTTAGTATATGTATATTATAGATTTTCAATAAAATTCTCCTCAGGACATTTGAAATATAACTCAAAACTATTAATAACACTTGTCACCAGCAGAGGGCAGAACTCCGCGGTAAAACTACAAATAAAGTTAGGTTAGATCTAGGTTCGAGAAGTCACAGCAACATTCTGCCGTTCGTTTGACTTTTCATCCATCTGACTTTTGCGGTGTCGGCAATCTCGTGCCGGTGATAGTATTGCAAGAACTTAGTGTAACAGTTAATTGCTGAAAAATGTTGATAAAAGTAAAGGTAATTATATTTATCCGACCTGTCCATCACGTTTCTTCGAAGTAACTGTCGATTTACGATAATATTAATTCCAACCTTGTTTCAGACTCTCACAGGAAAAGAGGCAAGTTCCATACAAATTTAGAACCAAAATAGTAAATAATCTTATAAAATCAAGTAACATTGTTGCTGTGCAATCAGAAAAAATTATCCAAATTTTGTCGCAATTTAACTTCGTTTCTGTACTTAAAGGAAAACAACCTAAGTTTAACTTGAAACTATATTTTTTGCAAGATTATTTATAGATTCAAATTGCACTTTGATAACCTTTTGCTAAATAGACATCCATATCTTAAGTGCATTTCATTTTATTTTTTTTTCTAAATATAATGTGTTATCTTTATAAATTGGTTGATGTATCGTTTGAATTTGAAAAAACAGCATTTACAATTAAATAATTGTTGATCATCTCTTTAGATCGAGATAGATATAGAACCCACAGATAAAGTAGAGAGGATCAAAGAAAGAGTGGAGGAAAAAGAAGGAATACCACCGCAACAGCAGCGACTAATATTCTCTGGCAAACAGATGTAGGTATAAGTATTATCATAATTGTACAATGCAATGGACAATGTTGTATAGCATCATTTGTTAACAATATGTGAATAACACATATTTATTTGACTATGCCAACATAATATTAATGTTTTAATTTTATCATGCATTTATTTTCGTATGAAATTCTGAAATACGGTGTTATACACAAGGCTACGTCACTACTAACTCTTTCCTGAAACCATGTAATATACATATTCTGTTTCTCCTCTCATGGCATTGATACCCTATTGTCTTTATGGGATGACTATGGGATTGGATAACACATTCTTTTTTATTCCTCTGTTTCACAATTTCTTTAGTCATGTTACTTTCAATACAGTTCAATACGTGATTGTACAAGATATCTTGCGTATCTACTTTAGAAAGTCAGAAATATTAAAAACAATACCAGGGAGGAAAGTGATTCTAGTAATTGTTACAATATAGTGAGAATATTATACATTCGTTTTAGGAACGATGAGAAGACTGCACAGGATTACAAGGTACAAGGCGGTTCAGTGCTGCATTTGGTACTCGCGCTGAGGGGAGGCTGCGAATACAACATTCCTCTTCTGTAAATGAGTCCACGCTAAGAAATCGTCCGATCAACAAGGCGAGAAAAACGCAGAACCATCACGCGTCGGTAACGGTCATCAGTATACTCGTTTGTGCTCGTAAAAAGAACACGATCTTCGCCATTCAACGTGATTACAGCTACACAGCTTTACATTTACATCCTAAATAAATATTTAATAAACTAATATAATGCCGTGAAACAAGAGATGTTTCTATTTAAAGCAATCTCACAATGAACGGTAGCGCATGTACTCGATCCTCCTTACTTTTCCACTTGTCTTTCGCATTGCGTGCTAGATGTTACAATGTTGTAACTTATATATTACAATGTTGTAATTGTATGCCGATTATAAAGATGATTCTAAGCCGTAAAATCAAACTAGTAGATTCGAATTTGTGGACTACATATTGTTGAATATGTATTGTGATTATGATGTTATAGATAAAAACCTAATGTAATAATAAATTCAAATATCAATATAGTGTATCAAATAATAGATGTGAAAGATCAAATCATAACAAAGCATAATCAATTACATTCATCATCTTTTTAATTGGCTTCTGAAACTTACAATAGTTTTGCAAAAAAATCAATTTTTGACGTTGGGAACTATACGCAGAAACTAGTTCGAGTTTTGTAGCGTTAAATAAAAAGAGCTACTTTCTACGACTCTTAAATATTTATTTCGTGCATCATACGTGAATATTAAATATACTAAAATTATACCAGCCGTTTACGACTGTTTCATTCTCTTCTCTATTTCCATAATAATTACAAATCGCAATAATTATCGCCTGTCATTCTGTTGTGTCATTCTGTTAAGTAGCCTTAATCGTAATATTGATATAATTCCTCGCCAACATCGTTTCTTCCGCAGATCTCACGTTATTAAGAGATCAGCGACAATAGATATAATCGCCAAAATCAAATCATTTTTTAATTCGAAGCAAAATTTGAGACTTGACTGCCGAAACTCCTCAACTACAAGGGACGATACTTCTTTCACGAGGGACGTCCATTTGGCGTATATTAAGATCTTCATCGTTAACAGAAACAAGGAGGCATTCTATACAGATAGCAACAGAAGAGCAAAGGCGTTAAAATAATGTTAATGAAATCACCCCTAATGTGTACACTAATACAATAATAATATTAATTATAAATTCAAAATTATATGCCACAAAGGGTTTTTTATAACTATAATTATACAAAATTAGGATTTTGAAAAGGACTAAAGAGTCAATGGTGCGGATGTTAAGCACTACTTTATATTATATAATGTAATCATTACGAAATTATTTTATCTTTTGACATTTTATTCATTTTGTATGTAGTCTGTTAACAATGAATGTGATTCGGTTGTACATCTAACAACGTATGATTTAAACCTGTTGACCTTGTGTATTGACGAATTGTGTCAACTGTTAACTGAGGAAGACCACAGGATCGAAATATATTAAATTTTGTAATGATTACATTGTATGATATAAAGTAGCGCTCAATATTCGCACCATTGGCTCTTTAGTCCTTTTCGAAATCTTAATATTAATTATATCGAGAGATGCAGTATAAAGTGCCGACCGCTGAATTTGCAACTGGAGAACGCCGTGCAGAATATTTTCTGACGCTACGCGTTTCGAACAAAGACGTTAATTAGCACAAGGAACACAAACAATAGGATCGAAGACGCGACAAATTCTCGCGGGAGAGAAAGACGGACAGGATTTAACGTACGAAGATAAGCGTTCAGTCAACCACGTGACATTCGAAGGACTAAAAAGAACTCTATATGCATGTAGGACTTGAATATCGGGAGAGGGAAGGACGGGGACGATTATATTTTTATATATAAATATATATACTATATAATATATAGGAACGTCGCGATGCAGCGCAAAAGAAAAAGAAAAGAGACACCATTTCAGCATGTGGCATGACGACTCAGCGATTCCCCAGCGTTCAGTTCCTGTGGTATCTGCTGTTGTGCGTCGCCCGGCTCCACTTAGTCTTGAAGACACGTTGGCAGATATTGCAGTACGCCGCAGAATTAGGCGAGTCCTCGTGCTTGGACGTGATGTGCCGCAGAAGTGCGTGCTGCGTGGTGAACGTGACGCCGCACTTGTCGCAGTACGACGTCGGCGTGTGGGCGCTTCTGGCCACCGGCGCGCCACCCGTCGTCTTCGACGGCTCTACACAAATGCATTCCTCGGTTTTTACCTAAGCGGAGGGCTTCTGGAGGAGATGCTGGCCGCGCGTTTTCGCTACAGGAGACCGTAACGAGAGATCGCATTGATGCACACCGCGGCCGATGTCGGCGAGCGCGTCCACGCGATTGGAGCGCTCTGCGTACATTAACACGTTGAAGACCGCTGTTCATTTTTCAGAAACTTCTTTTCTGAGATCGGGAGAAGAGTTTGAACATGAATAAAAAAATATCAAGCTAACCGAAACGCATAAATATTCGCACACGGTCCGCAATGTGTTAACGCGTTCGCTACCACTGTTCATCTGGAAAAAGCCGTCCAACCACCCTATATAGGTGTTCTTTTTTATGTAATATAGATTATAATGTAACACAGATTTAATTTATTTATGTGGACACAGAAGAAAAAAATCATCGTTGTCAGACACATGTGGATCCCTCGTGAAAATCGGCGTGTTACACACGCGTGGTAGCGAACGTAATTAATTGTATGTTGAATTAATTATGTTGTACAACAATAATTGAACATATAATGAACAACGTATGTAATTGATATTGTACAATGACAATTTAAAGCTGTAGAGAAAGAAGGAAAGAGAAGCTCTGGCGAGAGTCAAGCAGCGCGGGGGAGTGGGAGGGTTGCGAAGATGGCAAAAATCTTGTTCCTTCGTCAATCTCAAATGAATTTTCTCGTAGTTGATAAGAATAGATCCTAAGTTAATTATCGCACGCCTGCGAATGCAAGAAAGAACGAGAGAAAGAGAGAGAAAGGTCGTCGGCAGATTACTCGCGCGCGAGCTTAATTTGATTAGATTAATTAATTTGTTACGCGAGAAATTAATGGCGGACTCGGCGGAGAGACACGAAAACGTTCATGCCGACTTGTTTCTCCCGGCGGACGGCAACGTTACAAACGGTGATATCGATTTACGCGAGAGAGACCGAGTCATTTCCGCTGGCGAACCGTAATTACATCAGCGTGCATTACCGCGCGACCTATCAATGCGCTTAATCAATCTCGCTGCCTTCGCTTCCCTGCTTCTGAATCAGTGTTGCGCGATTAAATTTTCCCTTCGTCTAGAATAAGCAGCAAACCAATAATCAAAGTCAGTCAGTCGTCACAGTATAAAATCACAAATAATTTCACCGATCGATGAAATTAATTGTCAATTGAGCTTGAAAGTATTTGTAATTTTATATATGACGATTGATTCGCCGATTGTTCTAGTCAAGGGAAATTTTTGTTGATTCATGTGCAACTTTATTTTGAATCCGTCGTTCTTCGCTTCGTCGTTCGACGTCGTCCTCCGTCGAAGCAAGCTCGTTACACGTGCTCGCGAGACTATTTCTCTCACCTGTTCGCCGCAATTCGAAGCGATGCGATCATTTGCCGGGGTATCTTAAATGCAGAGTCGACACTGACAGCACTGTGAATCTAAATGTCTTACTTTAACTGAATATCTTTTCACACATTTCTTATGTTTTAAGTCAGGTCATTTAGCACGTATTAAATTATAATTTACACGTCTTAATCGTGTTAAATGACATGATTTGAAACGTGTAAAGAGAGCTTCAGCCAAATCACACGCCTGTATGTTCAGAAATGACACACTTGGATTTGCAGTGCGTTCAAAATCGCGAAGGAAGAAGCAAGTTGTAAATTACGATTAAATTTCGACTTCGTCGGATTGGAGCTCGCGAAAGTGATTACTGAAACGTATGTAACAAAACAAAGGCGATGATTGAAGATGAGAAATAAAATTTGTCGAAAAAAAGGTCCTTCGCGAGAGGAGAATAAAGCGATCAACTTATCAGGGATGAGAGAGATATGCGGCGCGATGCTCTGATTACGAGAGGCGCCGATACACGGGCGTGTCCATCAGAAATTCTTTTATTTACATTTTACTGCGATAACATTTTGAAAGCGTAGTCTTACACGATCTTTAATTAAGTTACAAGCTCACAATTATGATACCGAACATAACGCGTACCTGAATAGAACGCAATGCTTTCGTGCTACCGACAGGTGTATCTCACGATATCTACAGTTAGTTCCTAAAGTCGATGCGACTACACACATCCGCTGTCTCCTTCCGCGAGAGAGAGAGTGGTCTTAACCCTTCCAGACCAAAGACAGACGACTTTTCGTTACTTACTCCGCGAGAATTACTTTTCCGAGATTCTTGTTTGAACAGAGCGGTGGGTTTCTCCTAACGGGGACATCGAAATAGCAGCTTGGGGTGAAATCATGTCTCGAAGGGTTAAACGACCTTTTTTCTTTTTCTTCTTTTTTTCCGCTTTTCTCTTTTTCGTCTTCGATTTCATGTCGCAACACGCGCGATATGGTACTAGTGAATTCCACCGGCAAATTTCTCGAAAGGTGATCGACACTCCTCGGTTCTCCCCCGGAATTTCGGAATAGACATAAAAATTAGTCGATCTCGACGAGTCCGCGAGATTTCACGCATCGATTCCCCCCCCCCCCCCC